GCCTCCTATACAAATTAGAACGTCCATTGTTTGTAAAACTCGGCCATTTTGAAGGAAATCTCGCTATGATGATTCCAATTAATTGGTTTTTCATGCTATAGCGCGAGGTAAATGAGTCGTTGAAATGCCGGTGGGAGATAATCATCATGGGAAACATAATGTGCGACCATATGGCCTTTTATTTGTGAAGGGAATTGTTCTGAGAGTAGGCTGTTTGCATGTCTATATGTATTATGTGTAGATCGTGGAACGCACATTCTGTATATGACTCCACATGGCGAATTATCGATGCGGAAATAAAAATAAAATGCTGAGATGTTTTAATACCTCATTTTCGGGGCATCTGGGCTGGTACGTAGTGATTGGTACGTCCACTTTTTTTCTCACTTTTTAATTGTTTTAATTTCATTTTAGGTCACATCGATAATATCAGAAAGATGGATAAAGATAGAGGGAAAGAAAGTAGATACTGTATATCAATAATTGCACAATATGTCCCTTGTATATAAATATAGAATACAACACGGGGTATTCCGTATCGCCCGAGGTATCGGCCCGACCGCGGGTCGGATCGCCCGACGGCCGCAGGCCGGAGGGCGATCCGACTCGCGGGAGGGCCGGGACCGAGGGCGTTGCGGAATACACCGTGTTGTATTTTATTTATATCATACCCACCCAAGAAAACGCGCCTTTCAATGCGAGATGAGCCAAAAGTTGGTGCCACTGAACCCTAAACTGAACCCTAAACTGCAACAACATCAATTCCAACGTGCGGATTCTGTATTCGAATTTTGGAAAGGGGCACACGCGGGTAGGGCGAAACGCGTTCGAATCGTTTTATGGAAGCCAGGGAAGCGTTCGATAACGGGTTCCGGACCGGGCCGTACCGTAAAGTACGGCCCGGTCCGGAACCAGTTATCGAACGTTATCGCGGCCCGGGTATGATATAAGCCCGGGTACAGAATACTGTACAGCAACACTCGAATTCCCACTAACACCAGAGCAAACCAAGACATATGTAATAGCACGTAGATGCAATCTTTCATACGTTCTTAAAAATGGTGATATTTACAAAAAATACTCTGCAACGACCACAGGGGAGTAATAACCTTACATAACGGTCACGTCTATGGCGTTTAAATGTTCAAATGCCGCAGGCGGTGGAGCCAACCCCCAAGTTTAATTCTCCCCATCAATTCCCCCATGTTGTTAAGTCCCTGGATGGGTGCCGTGAACCTTTCTTTATTGCGTAGATTGAATTCTGTGGAGGTATTTGCCGGAATTTGTGTTCAAAGTAACGCCTTGGTGATGGAAAATATCGATTGATGAAGCCAGGGGAAGCGCACACCACAAGAGTGCTTAATCAGTATATGTCAAAGCTGTATGCTTCCTAAGATTGCAAAATTTAGGAAGCACACGGCTAAAATCTGCAAACAGAGGGTTCGCTTTCTGTCTATCTATAAAAAAAAGGACATTTTTTTTTATTTCTCAGTTATTTTAGCTTCCTAAAATCTAATTGTGGAAGTTTTAGATATATATTTATAGCTAAAATTTTATAGCTAAAATCTTTTCTAAAATTTTTTTTTAATCGTTTTATCTTCGTCTCAGTTTACATATTTTTTTCATGCAATAATCCAATTTTTTGTGTCGTATTGATTGTAATTCTCTAGCAGATCAGACTCGATTCATTTTAGCTATTTTTTGCAATGGACATTCCCCGATGTATGTATGGATTATGATGTTAATTGTCGATCGTCTGTACATACCACTGCGTTTGTTGCAACATCTTTAACATGAATGGTCTTCAATCCTCTTGACAGTTACATTGTTTGGTGACAAAGAAAAATGACTGGTACTCCTAAAAACTAATTATTATTTGTTTGTTATTCTAACTCAGTCCTCTTCTGTTGCACTCCAATGAAAGAGAATCAAGATTCCTGAAATAACATTCTCTGAACCCTGAACTGAAGAAGAATTTCTTTTGCTTCAGTATCTATATTATGTAAAAACACAAAAGAGCCTTTGACTCTTTCAAGTACCTTAATCCTTAACCAAGAAAAATGTCTGAATTCATGAATAAATTCTTGTTTTTACGCGCCGATGGCGCTTTCTGGTGAATCTGGGTCAGTGATTTTAGACGACCCTTGGTAGATGGGATGGTCGGCTTGAGGGCAGTGGTAAAATAAATAAATCTGCAAACAGAACGACCGGCTATTTTATTGAACGAGGAAATGGCTTATGGAAACGTCTAGGGATGAAATCTAATTAGTTTTCCTTGGTTCGTTGATTACCCTGGCTAGCCTCTTGCCATAAAGTTAGTGTCATAAAGATTTTTTTTGTTCTACCTTTTCACCATCACAGAGAAGTGAGGGGACGTCGAATTTACTTAATAGACGTACTAGTGCTAGCTTGATCATGTATATTATATACGTAGCTATTCTTCTGGTTGTGACCCGTACTTAACCCATGGCCAGTGGGTATGCATGTACCATAAAGGTCTTCATTCATTCATCATAAACAATATATCAGAGATGTGTTTTAGTGTATCGTTCAATATAGACCTTTTCGAGGATGCATTGCATGCTGGGAGACGCAAAGCACTATGGGTGGGCAGGGTGCAAACAACATCATTATTATATTTTATGTACACATGTATTCTATACTCAAGTCAATAAAGAACAGAGATGCAAAAAAAAAATCATTATGCATCCACGTTGCCATGGTGACGGTGCTGTTTGTTTGCCCCCGTACTACCCACAATGCCCTACGTCTCTCAGCATGCAATGGTCGCCATTTTCGCCAAAAAGCAGTTACTCATGCAACTGGATATGATTTTGGAATATGATATGATTCTGACCGTTTCCAAAATCATATCCAGTTGCTTGAGTAACAGTGCTTTTTGACGTATCGTATTACCTGGTCGACTTCATCGACGTCGCCATTTTCGTTCCAGAGTGATGACGTCGTCCAACGTACCCAGCATGCACTCGCCGACGCTGAGTGAGGAGGAAACGGAAGCTTCGGATAAGGAGGAGGAGGAGGAAGAGGAGGAGTCATCTCCCACCGCATCCACACGCACCGGACATCCCCCCGTCACTCCGGCAAAGAGGAGTCTCACCATTTTGCCATGTTTCATTTTTGTCGAGGTTAGTTTGCCAAAAAAGGTACAAAAGATGCTGTAAAGGTAACTGTTAGGGCCTTGATATATCTTTTAGTGTTGGACGGCGCCCATCTTTTTAGCCCTTATAGCACACAGATAGCCTGGTTGCCATCTGATTTGAAACGGTATTTTCGGGGTTCTATGTTTCATTTTTGTCGAGGTTAGTTTGCCAAGATAGTTACTGGCTTCGGACTGGTTGTATAAGTGTTTGATTATGTCGAAGAGTTTGCCTGAAATGCCGTTGGAGAGAAGTTTGTATAGCAGTCCATCATGCCAAATAGAGTCAAAGGCTTTTGATAAGTCGACAAAACAAGCGAATAAGCGTTTTCCAGACTCTGTGTGTTTAAATAGAGTTTATATCGGTTTATCCTTTATCCTTTTTACCGGAGATCAATAACTTTCTTGTCTTTCTCTGGAGCTAGTGCAAATCTCTTTTCAGTAACTATCTTTTTCCTGCAATTCCAGTGTGTTGTGCTAGGCGGCGTCGGTGCACTGATGTACTTTCTGCAGTTCACCAACTTTTTCCCGCCGGTGAAGCAGGGTTTCTACTGCAATGACAGAGACTACAGTAAACCCTACGTCCAGACTGAGACCATCCCGCCGCTGATAATGTACGGGGTTGCTGTTGGTCTACCCACCATTGTGGTACGTTGGTATTTATATCCAGTGAAAAACAACATACAAGACCTAAGTATCTCTTCAACTTATTTGTTTGTTTTCCCTGTTTCCAGCATTTGCATCAATCACTTGTTATATTATATATCATTGAATAAAGAACTTTCGTACACACGCAAACTTCTATATTTAAAATTATACAGAAAGATCCCATATAAGTTCATACAGATATTAAAGAAAACTACACAATGTGTCGCAACACATTCACACTCAGTATCTTAAGAAGGGGTCAAAATCCTCGATTCTGAACCAGACTTGCATGAAAAGTGAAGGAGGCGGTCTACGTACGAGCTCACAGACCTAGCCTGAACCGAGACGGGGGAGGACACAAGTTATCTGGCACGTATGACCCGCTACTACGGTCACGTGTCTCTGACGTCACGTTCCAAGAGTGCACGGGCCATTTCGTGAACAAGGTAGATGGAGTCAACCGAATATTTGGGGTAAGTTTACTCTTTATCTCATACACAAAGTTTTGTTCTTTATCTTCCAGATTATCCTCGGTGAGACTTTCCTGATGATTTTCCAGAAGGCGTCCACAAATCCGGATCCTCCGGAGCGAACTATCCGGTCCGGAAAATGCCACGTGACGTCATGGATGCGTAGGGTCTTCAGGTTCATCGGTGAGTAAATTGTAACTCCTCATAAATGCACTTCCAGTTTCCATTATATATATAACATTTTATTATTCCCAGTGAGAAGATGGAAGTGAAGAAAAATGGCTAGACTTAGGAAAACAACCAAGAGAAAATGTGCCGGTAACTCCTTCCTTTCCCGGGCCTGTGAATGCTGTGATACTTCTGCGCGCCGCAAGATGGCGTTAACGTTGCGCGGAGGGAACAAAATCTCCTCCGCAATGTGTGCGTCACAAGCCAATACGCTGTCATATTAAAAAGAAAATAATGGCAAACGTAACAGTCTACTTGGCGGTAAGAAACATTTTGTTTTCCATACGCTGAGAGTAGAACAAGAGAAGGGTTTTGTTATATGTTTTGAGTTACAACTTTTGATCCAACACGAAAAAGTTCGCCCACCTACCAATCCGAACCCTTGGGGTCCTTTAATGACTAAAGAATCCCCATAGGGCTAAAACTGTGTCCTGCTACCTTCTAATGTGTCCTTTCTTCCCTTAGGTGTCCACCTGTTCGGTGCCTGTTCGACAGTGGTGCTTGCTAACGTGTTACAGATGATGAGCGGCAGGCTGACCCCGTATTTCCTGACCGTGTGCCTGCCTGATTACAGCCAAGTCCAGTGCCAAGATAACCCGTTCGTCACGACTGATATCTGCACAGGCACCAACCAAACCATCCAACAGGCCAGGTGGGTGGACATGGATTCCATTGCATGCTGGGTAACGCTAGGAATTATGGGTAGCAGGGGAGGATGAATTCCCAACGTTGACCAAAAATCCAACGAAACATTCTATAAGGGACTGCATATACGTCTGTATATACGTCTCTATACATTTTTGTAGTTTGTACGTTACAATGTATTTGAAGATGACTGAAAATAACCATGACTATCATAATGTTTTTCTTCAGAAAGTCTTTCCCCAACATGCCGACAGCGCTAGGAGGATACGCAACAGTCTACCTGGCGGTAAGAAACATTTTGTTTGCCCTGCGCTGAGAGTAGAGCAGTAAAGGGTTTTGTTATATGTTTTGAGTTATAACCTTTAATCCAACACAAAGAGGTTCTCTCACCTAGAGCTTTCGACCAGTCACTCTGGTCTTCCTCAGTGGACTGACCCAGTGAGGTTTGTCACGTAGCACTCAACCGCGACGGGGGACGACATCCTCTTCCCAGTTGTAGATCCATACCTTTGACCCAGTTGTGGCAGGATCACCTAACCATGTGTTCCACCCCTGTGCAGTGGTACCGCACAGGTGTCTTACATGTATAGGACCCCAATACGCCATATTCACCTAGTTATAGCATGTGTTCCACCTCTGAACAGAGGTACCCACAGGTGCGCCTTACGTGTGGCTTCAATACGCTATATTTACCCAGTTCACCTAGTCATGTATTTCACCCCTGTAGAGTGGTACCTAGAACATATTTACCTAGTTGTAGGAGGATCACCTAACCATGTGTTCCACCCATTTACAGTGGTACCTACAGGTGACCCTGAGAGTGAGCGGAACCCGTCTACTGAAGCCCCTGCTGGTACTAGGAGCGGCCGGCGCAGCCCTGGCCAACGCCATGATCCAGGTCGCGGACTACCGCTGTCACCTGACGGACGCTGCCGTGGGACTAGCGCTCGGCGCAGCGGTGGCGACGTACCTGGTAGGAGACATTTTTGTACCGGTGATCAAGCCATATACACGATCCTGACATATACATGACTTTGACACTAAAAACCTAAAACAAGGGGTAGGAGGGGTTTAGTCGTGATGTGGGAGACTAAACCTAATAATAATAAATAATAATAATAAATGGTTTTTATTGTCCAAACAGTACCCATGCAGTCGCAGCCTTACGGCTGAATTGATGCAGGGTATCACACAATAATCAATACAAATCACAACAATTACAACATTCAAATAATACAAATGATACACACAGTCGCAAGGGTCTGTGCGGCTGCCATTCGGCGCCACAAGATGACCTCAATACGACTTTCCCCAACCGAAGTTAGGTACCCATTCACACCTGGGTGGAGTGAGGAAATTCGTGTAAAGTGCCTTTCCCAAGGGCACAACGTCGGGGCGCATGTTCAGACATGTACCGGGTACGACTCGGAATCGAACCCGGGTCTACCGGTTCACAGTCTATTGTTCTAACCACTACACCACCCGACGCCACAAAAACCTAAATTAGAACATGGCCAGTACCGCCACACCCCCCCCCCCAGCCAATGAGAGCCCTTCATTTTCTATATCCATATAATGCAAAAAAGTGTGGTACTATCCAAAAAAGTGTGGTACTATCCAAAATTTGGTACTAAAACTCATTTGCCTAAAATTAGTACCACACTTTTTAGTTAGTACCACACTTTTTGGGTTTTAACTGAAACCAGGTCCCCCCTCTGTGTACACTAATCACCCAAGGGACAAGAGGATTGAAACACAGACCAGCTTTCTCATAGACCAATGCTGCATTTTCACTCTATTTTTCTCTTTGTCCCTCTTTCAGGTTTTTGCCATCGTCAACTGTTTCAAGCCCTTCAGGTCACGTGACGAGCTCCTACAGTTCCTGGATACCGACAGTGACGTCACCAGTACCATCAGTCCCAGCACCCTGACCCCCTCCAAACCCCTGGCCCTGCCGCGCCCCAGCGTCAGGCAACCCCACAACGACTCCAATCATGACGTCAGCAATTCCAACGTCAACGATTGGCGGAAAGGAGTGGCCAATGACAGACGACCTCTGAGATCGGAGGAGAACTATATCACTAGGACGACGTCGGTGTATAACCCAGCTTATACACCGTAAATAGCGTAGTGATTATTTATACTTTTGTGTGTATAATAGCGTAGTGATTATTTATACTTTTGTGTGTATGTATATTCGTACGTAGAATCTGGGAGAGCACTAAAGAATATGAACAGTTGCGGGCCATTGGCCCTCCTTTAATATTTTAGTATTTTATAGATATTTGATTACTATAGGTTACTTAATTTGGTACCCCTGCCTTATACGCACATTACATATGGATTGGTATATACGGACAACTATAATCTATTAACAAATTATTGTCAAAAAGCAGGAAATACTGGAGCGACTTATTAGCTAAAAATAAACTTAACATGGTAATCTCATGATTACACCAGTGACTAATGACTTATTAACGAAGAAAAAAATCTGAATTTCAATCTCCGTAGGCCTTAATTTAAATAAGTGATCTCTAAAATCAGTCTCTTTGGGATTCGGGCGTATTTTGAGTCCTCAGAGTTAACTTTTGTGCAGGTGCAATGTTGTAATATTCCAATTAGACATATGTCGACTTCAGCACGTCGGCAGAACGTACTGCATCTGCGCAGAACCCTGGATTTTCGCGGTTTTCGTTGGATGTTTGGTCAACGTTGCATTAGAATTTTGCCTGTTGCAGACGATATCTTTTCCAACAAAACATTTGAAAACTACTGTCGGAATGCTAACCTTATATGAGCAAATACAACGGTTACCTTATATGAGACGTTCTGCCAAAGTGCTATCTACAATACAGTACGGGTTTTGCGCAGGTGCAGTACGTTCTGCCGACCGACGTGCTGTCGACTTCTCATGTTCTTATGAGGTTGAATTAAGCAGGGTATTCGCTTTACTTTGACGATGAACGAGCTATCACATATCTACTCTCTATGTTATTATAGTTAGTGTTTGTTTTGAAACATATCCTTAGAATACTGAAATTGTTTTTGCGATGGTTTGACGTTTGAGCAATGACTTTTGTGTTTAACTGTACCAATGTATAATTTTCTTTCCCGAAATTATGGACGTGAAAACTATTCTCGTTCCCAGGCTTGTGGGGACACAACCCCGGGATCGTGACGTGTATTACCCAGCATGCTTTTCGAGTCGAATCGTGGTAAACGTATTGTAGTAGATTGTGTATGTCGTTTTACAATGTGTCCCGCCATTTTACAATAAAAATAGCGTGGCGTGATCATTTATTGTGTTTTCTGCCACCGTCTTCCAGCCCCCCCTCGTTATACATGTAACGTCCATGGACATCAATCTTACATATTGGGTTATACTTGACCCAGCACATTAAATACCTACGGACAAAATTCCTAGAATTCCTAGAATTTTTGCAGATTGCACACAATACTACTATGTCATTAGGGTCGCTCCTGAGGCGTAGTCAAAAACAAAAAAAAATGTTGCTGGAACACACAGACACAGACACACACATACACACACATATACGCACACACGCACAACATACACACACACACGCACACATACACAAACACACACGCACACACACACGCACACATACACAAACACACACACACACACGCACACACACACATACACATACTGTACGCAGTAGTATTACATGTATATAAGTTAGACAAAAAAACTTCTTAGAGATAAGTTGCTCAACCAACCACCCGTGAGAAAATCATACTTTGTTTTTGCTGCATTATAATTGTTTTGGTTATATAATTGTGACCCAAATGGCAGCTATCTCTGTTTGTCGTGTGCACGGTAGCCTCTTCAAACATCCCACAAGGCCATGCAAACTAAGTGCTGCAGGAGTACACGTCTGGCACGTACCCACACACCATACTCAGGGCAGACAGGGTAATAGTAGAAAGTTGTTTTGTTTCTGCAGTGTTTTGTATTATTGCAGAATGTGAAAATTTTGCTCAGCAATTCGAAAATACTTTCTACAAATACACACGTAAAAGCCCAGATCTCAAACCATGGCACATACAAACTTGCACACATTGGCAAACATTTTACATGCAAATTGAAATATACGTATACATGCGTATTACTTATGCGTGGCCAATATAGACTACACTTACCCCACAGAATCTGCCTAGAGATTAGGACCAAGACACCACTTCTGAGTTACTGGAACAACATCTCTTATCCCTAAACCATGCAGAACATCAATGCTCTAGACAAGCTAGACTCACTGAGAGTGGGGATTAACTGACCCAATACGAGAATCAGGGGGTGCGAAGATTACTCGACAATCTTCCCTATGCCCCGTTCAAAACCGGAACTGTTTTGATCCATTCAAGCAGGAAAGGACCCCTAGTCTTCTCAAAAAGTATGGTGTATTCTATCAACGTGTGGATCTCCTCAAACACAGGGTCTTCTTTTAACGCCCTAGCCGAGGGACGTCCCTAACCAAAGTTTAGCACACACTTACTCCCGAGTGAAGAAATTTGTGTGTAAGTAACACAGTCATTTGAACATTTTATATGACAAAATCATTCTTCTCTATACTGTAAAGTATAGAGGAAATGGAAATATATTGTTTTTCCTCATTATTGCTCCATCTCTTCTCTAACTGCCAGTCCGCAATCTCCAAGCAGATCCTAGGGTTGCAAAATGCAGTATCAAATTGGCCAGGCAGTATTCATTGGACAAAGAGGGTGGCCAGAGAGGGTCATACGCCACCCAAGGACCAATGGATACTGCCTGGCCAATTTGATACATGTCTTTTGCCATCCTAGGATCTGCTTGGAGATTAGACAGTCCGGACTTCGCTCCAGAACGATGATGAAAGTTTGCCATCGCGCCATCCTGTCAACATGTTGTTTAACCTGTTTGTTTAATCAAACAGTCCTGCTGACAATCGGGCAACAATTTATCAGATAACACGACATTTGTACCATGTACCGATCAATAATTTCAAGGTGACTATTGATAATTGTTGCAATTAAATTGGATGGACTAGATAGAACAGACAATGGGCAACAGATCTTCTAGACTGACACTTGAAGTGGTGAAATGTCTTTGGTCGTCACACAAATATAATCAGTTTTTATGAAAGCAGTTTGGTCTTCGGAAATAAGGTCGCCATTTGGACCCAAAACCTTCATAACTTGCAAAAACACCCTTTTTTTTTACAGTGTTATAAACTGAGCTACCTTAGGTAAGCCTTAAAACCTCTGCATTGTTTTCATATGGTATGTCTAGTACTCTTATAGGGTTCAACCTAATCTGCACCAGACCAGGCTAAGTAATGTTAATAGTACGTCGGTGAAGGTTAGACATCTAGGTACGTAATAAGATACACCAAAAAGCAGTTACTCAACCAACTTGACATGATTTTGGAAACGGTCAGACGTTTCATATTTTATCCAGTACCTTTCGTCAATGTCACTAACGAAAACTGCTTTTTGTACAATTTATCCATTCGTTTTGGTCTATGTTATTCTAATCAATAGCTAATATTTGTTTTCCAAGCGTTCTTATCACAACAGGGGCATATACACCCCCCTGGCTTGTAACATTTCTCGGCTGATTGCCAATCGTACGAAAGACCACTTCGCCACAAGGACGGAAAGTACCCGGATGTTGGAGGGGGAGGTGCCCGGATGTTGAAAATCCCGGGCAATCAATAGTATGATATTTTATGATATCATCATGTTCACACCCTTTAACTTGTAACAAGGTTCAAATATACATTTGTAGATTGATTACCAATCGTGTACTAAAGAAGTTCAAGGACGGAAAGAACCAGGATGTTGAAGAAAAGTGGTAAGAAGATGCCCGGATGTTGAAAATACTGGGCAATCCAAGCGATCTTTTCTACATTAGACCAATATCAACATTGAATCTCATTGTTTGCAAACACATGTTTAGATTCGCCTTTGTCATTTTTGTGAGCGAGGTGGTAACTAAGTTTAAAAAAAATGTCTTTTTCAAAGACATCCAATGCGATTTCAGGGCAGCAAAACTGGAAATATTCTGATTAGGGCAATCTTTTTGATATTGACACATACTGCTTCACATTAGAACATTCAATCAGCATTTCATACTGTATGCATTTAGACCTACAGAAACAAGCCCGAACATTAGTCCTTTATTTTCTGTGTGGTATCCTAAAATCAATTCAGGTCCTTCCAGTAACCGTTTTTATGTCAGAATTTGGGACATCATTTTATGCTCCATGAATGTCGCTATACATTGAGACTATTGAGATTTAACCTAGTATGTAGATACGTGCCGATAATATTAACTTATATATATTATATTAAGATAATATTAAAATTTGGTTTCCAAGCCCTGAAAACTGCATTGGATGCCTTTAGACCCAACGTTTGATGAAAAAAAAACATATACTAGCTACCATTTTATCTGCTTGACGGGACGACCAGAAAACTTTGTAAGAAGTGACCTCGACCTGAGCACGTAGCCACGTCCTAAATATCACCCATCCAGACAGGTGCTTATCTTTGATATTTGACGATATGACTGGCGTGATTGTCATTCAAATGTGAGGCGATTATTAGTGTACACACATACCGTGTACGTGTATCCGTACAGCCAATCTCACGCCTCGGAAATGTGTGGTTTCAAAGTTTCCACCGTTATCTATGGCAGAGTAAATAAGACGACGTATTTTCGTGCTGCCGGTGTACATAAAAAGGGCACGGTGGCACGGGCTGTCATTTCCAACGCAAGCTGCAAGACTTTGCCACCAGAAACAAAGTATGTACTGATCTTTTGTTCCTCTAAATGTATACATGTAGTGTTTTATGATAGTGATACATGTAGGTTATGGTTTTAAGGATAAAAGAAAAAAACAGGGTTAATTATGAAACCAGTGAATTGTTAATAGAATTGTAAAGTTAGTAAATCATTGGTATCAAAGCTCCTTGTAAACTTTTTACAAATACCTGCAACGTTTTGGTCCTTCTGCTACCTTTATCATCACCAGCCAGCATTGGGAAGCACATACAGTCAGTAGTGCCCTGAAGAAGATAACAGAAATGTAATTGTTATTGTGGTGCACAGCTGTTGTGTTATGTAATTCACGCGCGGACAAGCTGTATCGGGCGAAGTACAAACAATTTCCTAGGTGTGATATGTGCGATTGTATCAATTTGCAGTTCTGTCTTGTTGTACATCATTTTAAAAAAATTCAAAAGAGAACATTTTGGTGCTTGCTAAGGAAATGTTGCCTCTCACTTGTTGTTTCTTAAAAACAACACACTTATATCAATATGGCAAACGGAAGCTTTAGCAAAGTAGATCTAGTTGCATCGAGCTGCTTCATCCAAAATGGGGATAGATAGTTATTGTTTTGTCTTGACAAAGTTGGCGAGTTTTGTTTTGAATCACACACTGAAACTACAGCTGGATAATTCTGGATGCAACACACGCCAATTTGAAAAATTGACTCTTACTTCAAAATTTGGTCAGATTTGTACCCGAAATTCAAGGATCTGGCAGTAAACACATTTGTGTTTAGCAAAACAATTGGTTAAACATTTGCGTAGTTTCCTGTTTTAAGTAGCTCCTGACGTGCACAATTGAGTACACAATTTTAAAGCCCAGCATAGAATGGTCAATACGTAATCACCATGCTACATTCATGAAAACCTTCAATAAAGTTTACATTCAATAAAGTGTCATCGTAGATGATATAGACATGAACGGCTCCAACGCTCAGATGACATTGCAACAAGAATTTTTGTATTTATTCCAACATTTAATCACAAGACGTGGTGACGGCACACTCATGTTTTTTCAACTTATATTTATGCCGCCACCAACATAGAGGACAACATGAAACTGATTTCCGCCTGAATGAAGTGAGGAAATTCATGTAAAGTGCCTTTCGCAAGGACAAAGATCTGTGCCATGGCAGGCTTCAACAACAATTTAATAAGGTTCGGGAGAGTTTCAACAATGTGCCAATACAGGACATTTTTTACTACAATTTGAAAAGGTATAAATTTTAGAGGTAACTTTATGTTTCATCTCGTATCGTTTATAAACGCCGGTAAAAAATTCAATTCCAAAGATCCAATTTTACCAGCTTGCGTCCATGTGACCCTGACCTTCAGTCCGATATGTTTGTTGAACATAATTTAGACTTTATCTATATCACGAGGCAAGCGGCATGGTTTTTCGGACCAAAGGTTTGGTGTGAAACAGCAGACGCTTTGAAAACAAAGTCGGACAACGCCCCCTATTTGTAGCCTCTACCAGGCAAGAAATTGGCCGAAATAAAGGGATAGTATACCAGAGAAGATCCAGGGCCATAGAAGCGCCAATTTGCGAGCTTCTATGGCCGCATGCGTCCCAGTGACGTCATTTATAGTCAACGACAGAATATGTTCATTTTCGTCAGTGGAGAATTTGTTGTTTCTTGTTGTTTGTTTGTGTGTATGTCTGTGTGTGTTTATGTCATAACTTAACTCAATTCTGACGGGGGGGG